TGGAGGGATGGGTGAGCTGAGCATGCCAAGCTGTGATTTCCACCCTCCCCCATGGGTGCTGGTTCCCCAGCACAAGGGGATCTGCCAGGCTGAGTTGGGCTGTACCCAGAAATGATCAGTGTTTTAGCGTCTCTAAACTTGGCCTCTTGTAGATTCATTAGTTTCTTGGAAAGAGGAGAGATAGGAAGGGTGGAGGTGTTGTTCATCAGCCCCTGATTAATCTCTTACCTGCTTTCCTCCATTCCAGCGATGCCAGAGAGAATTCTCAGAGAGTCACAGACCGTTTTAAGTTTGGAGACAGCGGCCACGGAGTGGAGGACTCAAAGGCTGACCAGGCTGCCAATGAATGGGGCCGGAGTGGCAAAGACCCCAACCATTTCCGACCTCCTGGCCTGCCTGAGAAGTACTGAGCTTCCCCTTGGCTCTGCCCTTGGGAGATGGGCTGTGAGACCCCTGAAGGCACGAACAGTTGCTGAGTTAGAGTTACTGAATTCTATATCCTTCCTACTCAGTACTTTGTAAAGAGCACATAAAAAATGTTTAATAAATGCTTGTGAAATTCAATTTGTTGTTGTTGTCATCTGGAAACAGCTAATGACAATCTTCCTGGGTACTTTTAATACCAGAGACATGATCAACTTACCTTATCATTTTTCTTCAAAGGAGATAAGGCACTAATAAAGTATAATACTAATTTGGGGTAAAAGTATGTTTCCATGATAAGGACCATACTATTTAGACTATATATGGACCATACATGTCAGACCCTGGGACAGAGAGAGATCTAAACCCTAGTTCTCAACAGGATAGTGCTGTAGTCACCTCCATCCCCACCCCAGCTGTTGGATACATCTGGGGATACTTTTGGTTGACACAGTGATTGCAGGGCATTTGGTGTATGGACCAGAGGTACATACAGCTTACAATTTATGAGACAGTGCTGCAAACAAAGGGTCATCCTGAATCTTGCTTGACTTTTGTGGTATCCTATCAGACATGTATTTAGGCAGAATCAGATTTACTGCAAAACTGAATGAAGCTTAAGCTTCAAGAACTCCTCACTTACATGGGACCATTCCAAGATCCTCAGAGAGGCCTTGGGAAAGGATTCATATGGTCAATTATTTTTGTAAAATCTGCAGAAGTAAAATATTTTAACCAAGGCAGTTAATGCCAACATTCCGCCATTACTTTTCTGCTTGTGTTGAGTGGCATTGGGGTGGGCACAGGTATTTTGGTGACCTGACTAAGGAGAAGTTGAATTGGGGATATGATTGGTTTGCACTTAGTGGGACATATTTGTGTCATTTGCAGTCATTTCCAAGTATAATTAAGTTATTGATTATTATCCTGGAGTAGGAATGGTCTCTAGGTATGTATTCTCCTACCGTCTACTGTGGTTACTCCCGGTGCAATAGGAAAGATCATATGGCAAAATGAACATGTCCTATACAGCCCAGCACAGAGCATGTGGGTATTTGGGAAGAAACAACTTTGAAAGTCAAACATGAGTCAATGGAGAATTGTAAGATCATATGTGTAAGATTTTTATTTTGATGGAATCCTAGTCAAAATGGAAGTTCTCCCCCAGAGAGAGGTTTTCCAAATTTGACAGTGGTCAAACTTTATAGAATATTACCAATAACAAGTTGTAAAGCTGAAAGAAACTTCCCTAAACCACCAATAACAATTTTTTAAAAATCAAACAACCATGCTAAAGACAGAATTATCTTTTTATTTTCATTATAGAAAATGATCTTACAAGGTCATTGTCATAAAATGAAGATCAAAGTGAACTCAGAAAAATTATATTAAAATTAAAATTATATTAAAAATATTATATTAAAACAGAGGATTTTTCGGGCAGTGAAAGTAGTCTGCATGATACAATAATGGTGGATATATGTCATTAGAAATTTGCCAAAACCCATAGAATGTACAAAACCAAGAGAGAACCCTAACATAAACTCAGGGTGATAATGATGTGCCAGTGTGGGTTCATCAATTTTATCAGATATCCCGTTCTAGTGGGGAATGCTAATAATGGGGGAAGCTATGCATGGAAGCAGGTATGAATTATATGGGAAATTTCTGTACCTTCTGCTCAATATTGCTGTGAAACTAGAATTGCTCTAAAAATAAATTCTATTAGAAGAAAGAAAAAGGATTGCTGAAGTGTGTCAGGCTGTTTATTTTTTTGTGGAGCTGGCGACTCTTTTTTTTTTTTTTTATTCATGAGAGAGAGAGAGAGGCAGAGGCAGAGGGATGGAGCAGGGAGCCCGATGCGGGACTTGATCCCAGGACCCTGGGATCATGACCTGAACCGAAGGCAGACGCTTAACCGACTGAGTCACCTAGGTGTCCCCAGGCTGTTTATCAGTAAAAATATTTATATATTTTTCTGTATTTTGTGATGTTTTACATATTTGTTGGCTATTTAAAATTGATATGTTTTCACCATTCTAAAGAAATATTTCCTATTGTTAACTAATTTAATATTTGTAATTTTGTATTATTTTTCCTAAAGGGGGCTCCCCAAATTGCATAATTCAGACCTTATGAAACCTGGGTCTGCCCCTTTGCATACAGTGTGAAAAAAAATGTTCATAATTATTTAAGCCTGGAATCCAACTGTGTTTTACATATTAACAGAGTATTCTTTTTCCAGTTTTAATATAGCTTAAAATTTTCTGAAAATACAATTGCTTTGTAAATTGAAACTTTGTTTTGGTAGAAATTTTACCATCCTCTGTTTATGATTTTGAGAAGCACAGCCCCTGATGGAATCACACCTCTCTTACTCTGTATTGTAACTGTTGGGTTCACAGTGATCTGATGTGTATGTGCTAACATTGGAGACCTCTATTATGTCTTCTAGTACTTGAGATATTAAAATACGTATCATTTTATTTTAAATTAATTCTATTTCTTCTTTCTGTTAGGGAGCCATATTACTATTTTTGAAATTAATGTTAAGGTAGATAATATCATCTATAAATCTCTTTCATCAAAGTAAAGTAGGTGTGGCAAAATATTTGTTGTGGGGTGGGGGAGGAGCACTGGGTCTGAGGTTGAGTACCATTGAACTAAAGAGAAGCAGGAACTGAAAATACAGGGAGTTGTAATCTTGACGATATTGACGTTCTTCCTGGTGACTTATGTCTTTCCGAGGATTCCAACCACACCTGAGAAAAGAAAGAGCGCCTACTGATGCTTTTAAGGATGCCAAACGTGCCCAGGGATCAGGGGTCCGACAGCTTCGAAATGTACATCTGCACCAGAGACACTGTCCCCGACTCCCTGTCCTTTCAGTCAGGCTAAGAGCCCCTAAGGAGATGGAATATCTGGTCCAGGGAGAGTGACCAATAACAGTTATGAATATGGTCGTGCTTGGGTCCTAGATAGGGTTGGGTAAGGGGAGATCAAGTCATCTGGGATCCCAAGCCTGAGGGCGCATAGAACGGGTATTCAGGCCGGCAGGCTCCGGGCGGTAGGGGGCGCTGTGGCGGGAGCCGCGTCGGGCGCGCCGGCCCCTCTGGCGCCAGGAGGTTTATCGCCTCCTCCGGGGGCTTCCGGCGCGGCTTCTCTGAGCGGGTGGCGACGAAGTCATGGACCGCAACCCTTCGCCGCCGCTGCCCAGTCGGGACCAGGACGAGGAGGAGGGGGCCGGGGGTGACTGCATAGGAAGCACGGTCTACAGCAAACACTGGCTCTTCGGCGTCCTCAGCGGGCTCATCCAGGTGTGGAAAGTCGCGCCCCGCGTGGGCTCTCCCACATTGCCCCAGCCCCCTGGTCACGCCTCTGGTAGTCCCCTCCAGCACCCCCTCCCCGACCACCCTTCTCGAGGCATCGCGCTTAGCGTACTGGCCGCCTCCACGGACCCCAAAATTGCGGGGAGCCACTTCCCGGTACCCCTCAACACAAAGGGAGGTAGAGTGGCAGGGATGCTGGAATGCTTACGGTTAAAATATTTTACTTTTGCATATTTTCCGAAAACGTCTGACCGTGTAAATACATTGCTCGGCTTTTTGCTCCCCATTCCCACTGTCGTTTCTGAACCTCAGGGCCCAATTTATTTCGTGGACTTTTGTTGTAGTAGAATAAATGGTGATTTTGGAGTCCTGCAGCTCTGATACGAAAGCGTGGCTTCATCACCTGCTTTGGGCAAGTTACCTAACCGCTCAGAGCCTCAATTTCTTTCTCAATTTCTATAAACTGCGTTACCTATGTTATTGTATATCGGGTTATTGTGTAGGTTAGATAAGATTATAATGGGCATAGAGTGCTTACCATGGTGTTTGGCTTATAGGAGCTCTCAATAAATGTGAACTTTCTTCTCCCACGTTTCCCGGACTTACCTACTTTCAGTCTCTGTTCTCTCCAGTGCAGCTACTTCATAGTTGCGGGAATATTCGTCCTTAGACAAACAGACAAACCAAAAAGACCAAGCTGTCCTTGGGAACTCATTTTGGTTCTCTTTGCCTGCAGGAGAAAAATGCATATTTCTTAGTCTGGAATCCAGGGCTCCTTGCAACCTTCCCAGCCTCATCTGCCCAAGACACACTCAACTACTCACCATTCCCCAGACCTTACTAGGCCCTTTCTTAACTCTGAACTCTTGAACTTTCTTAGGTATGTTCTTCTCCCATTCTTCACATGACAAACTCCTGTTCTCCCTCAAAGATTTAGCTTAAAGATTACCTCCTAGGAGAAGTTTGCCCACCTTTTCCAGGCATAGGTCATTGGTCCATCGTTTTTGCTTTCACTACTCTGTCCATAGTTCATTTGTATCACTCAGCCTTTTCTGTTGTGATAATTAGTTTACATGTGTTTCCCCCTGTAGATCCTTAACTGCTTGAAAGCAAGGGGTTAAATATATTCATCTCTGTATTTCGACCCCAGTGTCTAGTAACAGTATTTACTCTGTGAATGTGAATGAATAGATCTACCCAGGGTAGTAATTTTTTAAAAAAAGGTTTCTGCAGGAGAAGATACTTTGAGGAAAGTGTCTTTGTGACTTGTGAATGATGATGGGATAATATTACATGATGAGTACTATGGACTGCTTTTGTCATCACTTTTCTTCCTTTCTGTTGAAGATTGTTAGCCCTGAAAATACCAAATCCAGCTCAGATGATGAGCAGCAGATGGAGCTTGATGAAGAAATGGAGAATGAAATTTGCAGAGTATGGGATATGTCAATGGACGAGGTATGGGGTTGGAAATGAAACTGAGAAGACTGTTGGGTAGGGAGGTGGTGAATGGATTTTTTTTTTTTTTTTAAGTTTCAGTCCTTACGGCTCTGGGAAAATACGTTAGTGTCTGTAATCACTCATATCGGTATAGGGAGTGAGCTTAAATGCTAAACTTTTGTTTCTGAGCCTAGAGGATCTGAGCTGTCATTAGATTTGGTCTAAATATATAGTTCTCATGAATGCAAGAAGCTTGTAGCCCAGGAAAGTTCTGATACTTACCTGCTTTAGAGAATGCTGACCTTGTGTTTGAGAGCAGGTTAGAAGTTAGGAGACCACTGATGTACCACGATTAAATTAGAAGGGGACAAGAAGGACCTATGTGTATATAATTGCAAAATAATATTTTAACGTTTGTATTGTTCTCGGTCTCTGTAGCTTAACAGCGGCAGGTATTATTCCATTTGCTTTTCACAATAACCCTGTGATACAGGTAGTACTCTTATTTTACAGATAAAAAAAGACATGAAAAGAGATTGACATACATAATCTCTCACTTAATGACTTGGACTTCTGCAATAGCTTCCTGATTAAAATCCTTGTTTTAGTCTTTCACTTCCTTTCTGTCCTCCACATTGTCACCGTAGTTCTCTTTTTCCTAAAACACAGACTTAATTGTATTCTTTTCTTCTGTCTTAAAAGTTGTCTATGGCTATTCATTGGCTTCGGCTGTTTTTTGATACAGTTTTATTGAGGTATAGTTCGCACCAAAAAAGCTGTGTATTCTTGAGGTGTGATTGGTGTACAGAAACTACACATATTTAAATTGCACAATTTGAAAATTTTTGTGTGTGTATACGCACATGAAGCCGTCACTGTAATCCAGAAAGAGAACATCTCTCTCACCTCAAAAGTTTCCTTATGCCTGTTCGTATCCCTTCCTCTTGCCCCTCCCTGCCTGCAACCTCTCCAGACAACCACCGGATCGCCCTTCTGTCACTTCAGAATCGTTTGCATTGTCTAGTTTTATATAAATGAGATCGTATTATTTTTTTGGAGGGGTCCGGCTCTTTCACTCAGCATCATTGTTTTAAGATTCATGCATGTTGTGTCTATTAGTAGTTTATTATTTTTTTACTGCTGAGTGACACTTCATTGTACGTGTATATCATGATTCATTCATTTATTCCTCTGTTGGTGGATATTTGAGTTGTTCATGGTTTATTAAAGTTAACACTGAATCTTTGTGTATAATTATGTATGGACTTATGTGTTCCTTTCTCTCGGGTAAATACCTAGAGTGGTATTGGGTCATATGGTAGGTGTATGGTTTTTTTTTTTTTATGTTTAATTTTTAAGAAACAGTCCGAATTGTGTTTCTTACAGGTTGTGTAAAAAATTGTGTATTTTCCAAAGTGGTTTTTACATTTTACATTACCATAAGCAGTGTATGAGATACAGGTCCAGTTTCTCCTCATTCTTGCCAATACTTGGTATGGTCAGCCTTTTGATTTTAGTCATTGTAATAAGTGTGTAGTGATTCTTCTTGTGATTGTAATTTGGATTTCCCTAATTATGAACAGTGTTGACCATGTTTTTATGTGTTTATTTGCAGTCTGTATATCTTTTTTTGGTGCTTGTTCAGATCTTTTGCCCACTTTTTAATTGTGTTGTTTTCTTAGTTTTTTTTTCTATAAGTTTTATAATTTTAAGTTTTACTGGTAGATCTGTAATCCATTTTGAGTTAATTTTTGTGTGTGATGCAAGGTATGAATTGAAGTTCACTTTTTCTGCATATGGATGGATGTCCAGTTATTCAAGCTCAATTTTTAAAAAGACTGTCCTTTCTCCACTGAATTGCCTTTGTATCTTTGTCAAAAATCAGTTATTCTGTATGTGTGAGTCTATTTCTGGACTCTATTTTGTTCCATTGATCTATTTGTCCATCTTTATGATTATTTTAATTACCGTACATTTATAAGAAATCTTGAAATCAGGTAGTGTTAATCTTCCAACTTTGTTGTTTCTTAGAGTTGTTTTGGTTGTCCGGGATCCTTTGTATTTCCATATTAATTTTAGAAGTCGATTTGTCACTTTCTTTAAAATGCCTGCTAGGCTTTTGACTGAGATTGAGTTGAATTTATAGATCATTTGGGGAAAGAATTGATAAATTGAACAAGGTATATCTTTCCATTTATTTAGATCCTCTCTAATTTGTTTCAGCAAAGTTTTGTAGTTTTTAGTGTATAGGTATTTCACATCTTTTGTCAGATTTATTCCTATTTCATACTTTTCCATGCTATTAAAAATGGCATTTTTAAAAAATTTCAATATCTGTTCATTGCTAGTATATAGAAATTCAGTTGATTTTGTATATTTTACATCCTGTAGCTGTATTTCATTTATAAAGGAAACGTTTTACTACTTTTTCAATTTGAATTGCTTTTATTTCTTTTTCTTGCACATTTGCTGTCTCCAGTATGATGTTGATTAGAAAAGTGGTGAGAGGGGCATCTTCTTGTTCTTAATTGAGCGGCAGAACGTCTGGTCTTCCACCATTAATATGATGTAACTGCAGATTGAGAAAGTTCCATTCTGTCTCTAGTATGCCTAGAGTCTTTATCAGGAATGGATTTTGTATTTTGTCATACTTTTGCTAAGTCAGTTGAGATGATCATGTGGCTTCTTTTTAGTTTGTTAATATGATGAACTAAGTTGACTGATTTTTGAGGTGCTAAAATCTTGTTTAGAAATTCTATCTAATTTCATGAGAGATAATTCATTTTCTTTTTTTTTTTTTTTAAGATTTTATTTATTTATTTGACAGAGAGAGAGATAGCGAGAACAGGAATACAAGCAGGGGGAGTGGGAGTGGGAGAGGGAGAAGCAGGCTTCCAGCCGAGCAGGGAGCTCAATGTGGGGCTCGATCCCAGGACCCTGGGATCATGACCTGAGCCGAAGGCAGACGCTTAACAACTGAGCCACCCAGGCGCCCGATAATTCATTTTCTTGTCATTATCTGGTTTTGGTACCAGGGTAATGCTGTCCTCATTGATTGGGAACTTTTCCCTCTTCATTTTTCAGGAAGAGTTTGTACAGAATTAATATTTCTTCCTTAAATATTTGGTGGAATTCACCAGTGAAGCCATTGGAGCTTGGAGTTTTCTTTCTGGGAAGATTTTTTTTTTGTTTTTTGCTTGTTTACTTTTAGTTTTGTGTATTTATTACTTTTAAGAAATAATAGTTTTATTGAGATATAACTCCCTACCATAAAATTCACCATTTAGTGGTTTTTGGTGCAAAAGATTATAAATTCAATTCCTTTACTAGGTATAAATAAGGTTATTCAGGTTACTTTGGTAGTTGATGTTCTTCAGGGAATTTATCCATTTTATCTAAGTTGTCAAATTTATTGGCATAAAGTTCTTCATAATATTATGTTATTTTCCTGGGTGCCTGGGTGGCTCAGATGGTTAAGCGTCTGTCTTCGGCTCAGGTCATGGTCCCGGAGTCCTGGGATCGAGTCCTGCATCGGGCTCCCCGCTCTGCGGGAAGTCTGCTTCTCCCTCTGCCTCTCTCTCTCTCTCTCATGAATAAATTAAAAAAATCTTTAAAAAAAAAATATTATGTTATTTTCCTTTAATTATCTGTAGAATCTGTAGTGATAGCACCTCTCTCATTCCTGATATTAGTAATTTGTAACTTCTTTTTTCCCCTCATCATTCTGGCTAGAAGTTTAATTTGTTGATCTTCATAAAGAACCAGCCCTTGGTTTTGTTCATTTTCTCTTTTGCTTTACTGTTTTCTATTTCATTGATTTCCATTTTGATCTCTATTATTCTCCTCCTCCTATTCACTCTGGTTTAATTTGCCTTTTTTTAATATAGACATGTAACACTATAAATTTTCAACTATTGCTTTGGCAGTATCCCACAGACTCTGATATGTTGGGTTTCCTCTCATTTAGTTTAGTTCTAATTTTCCTTTCATTCTTCTTTGGCTAATGAGTTATTTAGCAGTACATTGTTTAGATTTCAAATATTTGGGAGTTTTTCAGTTATCTTTCTGTTACTGAAGTCTGTGAACACTGAATCCTTTTAAAAATATATTTAGACTTGTTTTAGAATGTGATTTATCTTGGAAATTTTCCATGTTCACTGAAAAAAAATGTGTATTCTGTTTGCTGGGTGGTGTCCTATATATGTCAATTAGATCAAGTTGGTTGATCTTTCAAGTCTTTTTCTACTTGTTTTACAATTATTGAGAAGCTATGATTTAAAAAAAAAATTTTTTTTTAAGGAACTAGAACCCATTTTTAAAATGAAATCTTAGGGCGCCTGGGTGGCTCAGTTGGTTAAGCAACTGCCTTCGGCTCAGGTCATGATTCTGGAGTCCCGGGATCGAGTCCCACATCAGGCTCCCTGCTCAGCAGGGAGTCTGCTTCTCCCTCTGACCCTCCTCCCTCTCATGCTCTCTGTCTCTCATTCTCTCTCTCGCAAATAAATAAAAAATCTTAAAAAAAAAAAAATGAAATCTTAATGTGAAATCCTCAAATATGAAATAGGTAAAACAGAGCTGCTGTTTGAATAAGATTGTTGGTGGAAGGCAGGGTCATGTTTTTGGCCTCCTTTTCACCTTCTTAGGGTAGCTCTTGAAGCACCTCTAGAGAACTGAGATGTCCACTGATTACTGGTGTAAAGTCCATCCAGGCTTATCTCCTACCACTGATGTTTGAGCAGGACCAGAGACTTCAGATGCTTTCTGCATTTTCATGTGTTCGTGCTCTGTTCATGTCCCTGTCTGCCTGGAATGGCCTCCAGCCAGCAAAATCTTTCTCATCTTTTACGGCCCAGCCTAAATGTCACCTTCTCTGTGATGCCTCCTCAGACACTCCAAGCAGATTTCATCTCTTCTGTGCTCTCATGAAATGTGTTCACTCTGTTGCATAACACTTATCTAATTATTCAGCCTTTGTGTCCTCCGATAGATTTAAGTTCCTTCTCTTAAAAGCTTAATGTCACCTCTTCAGAGGTACCTTCTCTATCTGAAGTAGGCCTCCCCACATCTTGGCTTCTGGCACATACTGTCTTGTCTCTCTTCCTTGTAGCACTTAGATAAGTTGTTTATGGGTTTATTGTTTGCTCATCCCTCTAGAATAAAAATTCCATGAGACTGGGACCTTATCTAGCTTGTTCACTGATGTGTCCCCCCAGAGCCTCAAACAGTGCCTGTTGCTTGGGTTTTGCAGTAAATACTTGGTGAAGAGTGAATGAATGAATGCATGAGTGACTGAATGAATAGCTGAGGGGTAGCATGGTGTTCTGATTAAGAGCATGTCCATGAGTCAGACTCATCTGGGTTCTGTTCTCCTGGCTTTGTTCTACTGATTGTATAGTCTTTGGCAGGTTGCTTAACCTTTTAAAACTTCTGTTTATTAGCGGAATGGGACTAATAATAATAACTACTTTATAGGGATCTTTTGAGAATTAAATAAGATAGTATGCAAACCACTTCACTGTGTTAATGACCACTTGCTCAATAAATGTTAATTGCCGTTATTATTATTATTGGTGTTGATATTGTTAGACTACCTAACCCTGTGCTACCCTAGGAATTACTATCGTTTAAATAAATCACTCTTCTGCATGCCCTAAGAGTTGCCAACATGACAAACAGCACTCTGAACACTTTAAGTGGGGAGCATCTGTTGCTGTGACGTTCAGTTTGGAGTGTATCTTTGAAAATACTGTTTTCTCTGATTGTGCTCTCTTAATAATTACAGGACGTCTCTTCTAGTCAGCAGTCATGCAGGTTACCTTGGTTTCGGCTGCTATGAAGGATTACTGCCTCTGTCTTTGGGGTGCCTCCAGGGCCCTTTGAAGAGCATTTTCACTTAAGCCACACAGCTTCTGGTTTTAAGTTAAGCTATTGCAAATATACACCTCAAGTTTGGTGAAAATCCGAGGCAATAGACCATCAAAAACTTCATTTTATTTAAATATTGTACAACACAGATCTCCACAGCAAACTGATTTGGTCTTGGAGCATGCAAGATTGGATCACATGACTGCTCCAGGTTCATTCATTTGTACCCTATAGGTGCCGTGGCCTGAGCGAACTCTAGGAAGGAGATAGGAAGCTGTCGCAGTTACACTGTGATCAGAATTATTTTCTGTTGAGAATTTTGACAGCGCAAGTTCTGATTTGGGGCATGACCCAGTAGGGGTTTTAACCTGTTTCCCCCATTGTGTTTTAAGATCTTAGAAGACAGGAATTATGAGTTTTACGTTTTTCCCCACCCCAGTGTCTGGCAGGATACCTGGCAACTAGCAAATATGTTTGAATGAGTTAACATTCCTGGTGGCTAGAAAGATCATTAAGGTAAATGCATTCAAGGCAGAAAAAGGAAGATATTCCTGGAGTATCACAGTTAGTTTAAATTTGTTTATGGATTTGTTCCATTGCCTTGGGACCACATAGCACAAAGACTCTCTAACATTACTTTTGTGTAATGATACAGTTCCTAACCTATGGCTTTTTTTTCTTGAGCCTGAAAGGAGGTATATATAGAATATTTTTTTTAAATGGTTGTCTGAACTATGGGGTTTAAAGAGGACTATTCAGCATCCAAATTAATAATCATTTTTTAATTTTCAGGATGTGGCTCTATTTCTCCAAGAATTCAATGCTCCTGACATATTTATGGGAGTATTGGCCAAATCCAAATGTCCTCGGTTAAGAGTAAGTATGTACATTTTTAAAGCTTCCTCTTTGGAGCAATAACAGCAGATAGTGCTAGATAGTCTTTCATTTTTCTCACTTTAATTTTCTTGCTGGCCACAAATCAGTCAGCAGATTTTTATTGAACATTGCCTGGCACTCGATAATGTCCTGTTTAAAATGATTAGAGTGGGCTGGACCAAGGAGATCAATACTTCCATTTAACCGCTGTGGGAAACAGGCATGACCAAAGTTATGTTCCTAATATGTGGCAGAACAGGGAACATTGCCTGGACCTCCCATTTCTGTTGATTGCTCTTTTTTTTTCCCCCATAAAATCCTCCATTGCTTAAAAACCTTCATTCTGAACTCAGCCTGACACTCAGGACTTTCCATAATCTGAATCTAATTTGTCTTTCCAGCCTAAAATCTATTGTGCAGATGGTGCTTCTAATTTAGCAAGGCCTGTCCACTCCTTGTCCCAAGCTCACTGCGTTGATCACCATCTCCATGCCTCCCTTCATATGCCCTCCATCCCTCTCAAGAGTCACATCTGTTACCCCAGGAGCTGCATTTCTTCTAAGCCTTCCCAAATAAGTAAGCTCTCAGTGGCCATTGCTGATTGTAAACTCCCTAGAGGAATTATCTCTGCTTCTCATTTAGTCTTCATCGACGCTGTGTGCAGTGGATTGTGTTTCTCTGTCATTTAGGTTGGGATGTGCTATGCATATCGTGGGTGATTAGTAAATATTAAGTAGTTATACTTACGAATAACTGCTGTTTACTCAGGATTTGGTCTTACTATTCTGTGAGATAGGAATTTATCTTCACTTTATAAATAAATGAGCTAAGTCTCTGGTTAATGTGTCCAGGGTCATACAGCTGGGAAAGAATAGAGCTGGGATTTGAGCTGAGCCGGCCTGACTTCAGTATAACCACTGCGCTGTATTACCTTTCTTTCTTTGAAATTATGAAGTGGAGAATCCTGTAGTATATTTTTACAAATTGAATGCTGAATTCAAATTTTGTTTAGGACAGTGTTCTTCCTGAATTGGGACCCGATGAACTGATGAACCGCTTTTTCCTGGGGTCATTATGTTGATAGAAAAATTTGACAGTTGATTGGATTTTTCTCCTGGATTTTTCGAACTTAAATACATTGACTCGTGATTAGTACTTAAAGGAAATAAGCTTATGTCAGTAATGGCACCTTTCAGGAATTAGTCGTATCATTATGTATGCCTGTGAGCCCCAGCCCGTCTATAGCCGTGATCCTTGGCCTCGGCCACATGTTAGAATGGAACGCCGGCTCTCCAACTTCGGCATGTCCCAGAACCACCGATTACTGGGCCACCCCTGACTTTCTGATCGTATGTTTGTGGTAGGCTCGAGGATTTCTAACAAGTTCCCCAATGATGTGAGTGCTCTGGAGAAGAGCCCACATTTTGAGAAGCTTTGCCGTTGGGACCTTTTAAAAATCCTGAGTCAGGCCTTACCCAGATAAGTTGAAACAGAATTTCCAAGTGTGAGACTCCACACAACTTCTAAAGTTCCCTCAAGCTGATTCTGGCCAACAGCCAAAATGAGAAATGTCTTTGATTGGAAGTTCAGTCATTCTCCCTTTAATTTGTAAGGAAATGTATGTGTCTCTGTGCCGCTTCTGTTCTCCTTTAATCTTTTCCAGCATTTGACAACCCTCATTTTATTGAAGCTTTCCCTTCCTACAGCTTTGGTGCCACCTCACTCTCCCAGTCTCTGACCTCTTCAGTCATTTCTCTGTCACTTTTATTGGCTTTTTTCTTTCTTCCTACACAGTGTGGACTCCTTCTAAGCTGCAGACCCAGATCCCTTGTCCTCTTTAAATTCATTTCCTTAGTGAGCTCATCCACTCTTTATACCTTTAAGTTGCGAGTCTGTGCCTGTGGGATCAAAGCTGCGCCCTTGCTTCTGATTTCTGTTGTCACATCTTCAACTTCCTTTAGGCATTCTGTACTTGCTTGCTGTATTTTCCATTCCAGAATTCCATACGTCCTGACTCAGTGATGAACACACATACCTGGTCATAAAAATGACGTGCTGTGTTTGGTAAACACTAGCTTCCCAGGCCCTACCCTGGAGATTCTGATTGAGTAGCTCTGAGATGGCACTCAGAAATTTGTATTTTTAACATGTTTCCTGCTCTAATGAGTCTTATGTTCCAGCAAGTTTGGAAACTAACTGCCTAACTGAGTTCACTGTATCCTTTTCTACACTTTCTTTTCCCATTTTCCTGTCAGTGGGACCAATAGTTCTGACTAGAAAAAATGAAGAAACTTGAAACCTAGGAGTGAGGTTCAACTGCCTTCTCCTTTTGCCCCTCATCAGATTATTTTGCTTTCAGCTTGAGTCTTTCTCAACTTCATCCCTTTCCATGCCTGCCGTCACCACCCTCATCTCTGCACCTTGATTACTGAGATGCAGTACGGCATAGTTGTTAAATGCTCAGGCTCTGGAGCTCTGCTCTTGACTAGGCGGAGATCCTGGCAGGTTGCTTAACTGCTCTGTGCTTTAGTTCCCCCTCATCTGAAAAATGGGGATGATAACAGTACCTGCCTCATAAATTATTATATGAATAATAATATGTGGGAAGTGCTTGGAGTAGTGCCTGGGCCTAGTACGTGCTAAGTAAACATCGTCTGTTATTACTGAGGTTATTGACTTCCTTTAACATTTTCCACCATCATGCACTATGCATTTTGCTGCCAACAAAATCTTCCTAAAATAACATTGCAGTATGCTGCCCCCTTCCTTGATCTTTATGGATGCATATAACCTCCTAGATTAAATCTAATCTTTTCAGCATGGCATTCCAGTCCCTTAGTCCTGATCCTTTTTACCTGCTGTATTTATCTCATGTTATTCTCCAATTTTGTACAACAGTCAGGCTGCTCTCTTTAGGGTTCAGTGTATTAGCCATGTGCATTATTCCCTTCCTGCCTTTGCTGATACTTTTCCACTTGTCCGAATGTCTTTCTTCTTGTTTGCATGTCTATATCCTACTAACCATTTAAGACTGAGTTCATCCGTAAGATTTCTTTTTCCATAACTTGTGCCTGCCTTTGATCTTTCTTTTTCTTGTGTCTTCCATCCCGTCAAATGCTGTAAACTTGTCAAGATTAGCGTACTTCTATATGCTACCTCCTCTTCTTCCCCCATACTGACTCAGTGAAAGTTTTTTTCAAGTTGTTATTTTTGTATGTGTCTTTTATCTTCAAGACATTGTGACCTATGACCTTGACATTTGATTTGGCAGGAAATCTGTGTGGGAATTTTAGGTAATATGGCCTGTTTCCAGGAGATATGTGTGTCCATCAGCAGTGATAAAAATCTTGGGTAAGTTTTATTATATAAGAATTATGTTTTTACAAAATAAATTAATACTTCGTATCCCTAAGGAAATTCTAATACATAGGAGATACAGGAACATTTTATGAAATGTAGTATTTCCTTTCTCCTGATGAATAGTCTCCAGGAGTCTCATTGTAAATTGATGGTAGCTAGGGGTTTCAGTTTTTAATGGGCATGACTGAGGATTTAGGCCTGTTTCTTTATTGGTAGCAAAAGGACAAACCTTCAGTAGGTGGTAAAGCCTGACAAGATAAGACCCCGAGGGGCAAAGCTTGGCGATGGGGCCCCTGACCAGAGTCCCAAATAATTTAGGCTCAGGGAATCCAACGGCTCAGAAGAGCTAGAGTCTGGAAAAACTAGACTTAGTAACCAGGGTTACCCTGAGAACTCTTTTTTTTTTTTTTTTAAAGATTTTATTTATTTATTTGACAGAGACAGAGACAGCGAGAGCGGGAACACAAGCAGGGGGAGCGGGAGAGGGAGGAGCAGGCTTCCCGCTGAGCAGGGAGCCTAATGTGGGGCTCGATTCCAGGACTCTGGGATCATGACCTGAGCCAAAGGCAGCCGCTTAACGACTGAGCCACCCAGGCGCCCCTGCCCTGAGAACTCTTGACTAAGATCAGGGGATAGGGCTTATCGAAAGACTAGAAGATACAGGGTTGCCTCCGTGATTCAAAGGCTTTCATATTTTTACTTGGAGGCTAGTTCTATTTTAAATGCAGGAAAATTTTAAGCAGATGGTTTTTTAGTGGTGGAAACCCTAGTGGTTACTTTAAGAGATCTGAGAAAACCCTGGAATTGTATGCTAAATTTTGTGAATGTATTCATTTTTTAGGCAGAGAGTTCATGGCTGTTAATCAGAATTTCAAAGAAATTTGTGCCCACAGTAGATTAAGAAAAGTGTTCTGGGTGGTTATCTTCAGCTAGGGTTGTGAGGGTTTATCGCAGGATTTAAGTACCTGGGTCTCTAAAATAGAGGTAATTACCTCTTCTGTGTGTGGAGTGACTTTAAAATCCTAATTTAAGGTCTTTATTCCTCAGTAATTTAAGTCATTCATGGAGTAAATGACCCAGGATTATATTTGGTCTCTAATGGTCCCTATCAAAAATCTAAGAATGAGGGGCGCCTGGGTGGCTTAGTTGGTTGAGCGTCTGCCTTCGGCTCAGGTCGTGATCCTGGAGTCCTGGGATCAAGCCCCGCATCGGGCTCTCTGCTTAGCGGGGAGCCTGCTTCTCCCTCTCCC